GGGGGGGAGGGGGGAAAGAAAAGCAGAGGGAGAGTTGGTCGTTGGAGGCAAATCCAGGTCTGAGTCAGAATCCCCTGAATCGTTCTTTTCATGTCGGCTTCATTATTTAATGAAAACCAGAAAGATTTCTCCTGAGGAAACATCCAGCAGAACGGGGTTAGGAACGAGTGAGCCGAGGGAGGGGGAAAAAAGTTTGTAATTTTTTTTTTTTTTATGTCGACCGTGTGGGCATGCTGTCGTCAAGCTTTGAAAAACTGAGCTGACAGGTTTCTGTGAGAAAAAAAGACAACAAAAAAGTTCCACTGGTCATGTGTGCTGCTGCCAGATTTTTAAAGCTGGCGTGAACAGCAGCAGATGTCCTAATAAACTACGAGAGCATCCAGAGACCCAGAATTTTTTTATTTTTAAAAAAAAAAAATCAGAGTATGTGTCATGTCAAAATTTATCTCCCCGCTAACATTAAGAAAAGAAAAAAAAAAAGGAGGCATAAATTCCTTGATTTAACCTGGCAATGACCCCTTTTCCTCTTGATTGTCATCTTCCTTTCCAGAGGAGGAAACGCTGGTTTCTCGTTCCTGGTTGTAATCAAAACCGTTTTTCCCCTCTCTCCTTTCCGTCCATCAAAAACACACCCACGCACGGAAGCTGGAAAAGTGCCAGAGGCTGAGACCTGAGGAGCACGTTTCGCCGAAGTAGAACAGGTTTAGGGCTTCAGACAACGGCGACAACTTAAAGAGATCTACCACTCAAACTACACTTTCCATCAAGCCACGACTTCAGAGCCAAGAGCGCAGAAAGACAATCAAATGTGTGCTCCTGTGCATTTCACTGTGTGAGAGAGTGTGTGTGTGTGTGTGTTCTCATCTCAACTGAGCAGGAAGAACAAGTTCAAAATGATTTGCAAAGCGTTTATCCTGCTATAAAAAGCTTAAAACACTTGTGCACTCTGTGTACAAGCTCATTTTGTCCGTTTGTGGCCCAAAGCAAAAGGTCACTGAAAGCGAGGTCCTCACAGGTCAGCATGGAGAAGCGCCTTCGCGCTGGCCCGTGCATAAATAATCAGTATTAATCTATCGAGCCCCGTTCATCTCACACTGACAAAAAGGGAACGGAAGGAAACCTGAAGCAATACAAGAAAAATGCGATGTAGTGAGAATGACGTGGCATTAAGTGTGTTTATGCGCAGATGCTGAGGTCTGCGAGGACATTCCTTAGATTCCTGAGGTTAAGCATTTCGGTCTTACCAGAGGAACCTGACAACAGAGAGAAGAAACCCCGACGAAAAACATTTAAAATATGAGAAACAAATGAATGAATGTGCTCCTTGCCAAACTGGCATCTGCATTGTAACATCGAGCTTAGTGTAATGTTGTTAGGCTCGGGGTGAACTCTACACACCCTTGGAGATGGGAGGTAATTGGGTTGGGGGTGGGTGGGACATTGTGACTATGACCCTTTAAAAACCACAATTCCCAGGAGGCACTGGCAATTTATTGGCCATGGGGTAGTCTGGGAGTCTGGAGCTAACAGAGTCTCTAACCAAAATAACTGGGAAAAGAAGCAGAATTAGCACAGGAAAGGCCACAGGGGAGTGTGTGTGTGTGTGTGTGTGTGTGTGTGTGTGTGTGTGTGTGTGTGTGTGTATAAATGCATGTGTGAACCTGCACAGATAAATGCTTCTGTGCAGTGTCTGCTCGCAGCGGAAGACAGGCCAAAGTGCTGCTGCCCCAAACATCCGTTATTTAGGGAACAGCCATTGATCCCTGTTCTTCCCCCACTTGTCTTCCATTCGCTCTCCCTCCACACCTGCTCCCCATCTTTTCTCCTCTTCCTTTTTGCCTACAACTTCGCCTCGCCTCTATCACACCATACCTGTGTCCTCTCCCTCTCTCTTTATTTTTTTGGACAAGCTATGTCAGTCACAGCTGGACCATTACTCCAATAAACAATCGTCGCTGAAATCAAAGGTTTTTAAAACTTTCCTCCCCTCCTCCATTTCTAGCGTAAGTGGTGAGTTTGTGGTGACTGATAGCCACGCAAACCACATGCACATGAAAAAGAAAAAAAAGAAAAGAAAAGGAAGGCCTTTGGGTAAACCCCCCCAAAACCCGCCTCCCCTCAATTTCCCAAGATTTTTTTCCCACACTTTCAATCCCTTTGCGCTTGTGCAGACCGATACAAACCTCAGGAGGTCATCTTTTCTAGCCATAAAACCAACTAATGCGTGATGCGGGAATTTTTAAAAAAAAATTTTTTAAGGTTCCCCCCAAGTTTGCAATCACCAGTATCCGGGTTCCCATTCCCACTAAAGCTTCAGAGCGCGGGGGAGGATGGCATCCTGTCAGAAAGATTCAAAACTGCTCTGTGCGAAGCCTCAGTAGGAAGAGAGGCCGGCACACTGAAGCCTTTGTGATCCAGCCAGCCACCCACACGTGGTGCTAGGCTAACAGATAGCAGCGTCTGAACGACTCCGCTGTACATGCTAACACAAGGTGAACTATTCTGTAGGCTGTACGGGCAATTAGTGTGAGAGTTTAGAAACAAGACTACTAATAAAGGAGAAAATGACAGGATTTTCCACTCTTTCAGATTTTCTTTTCCCTTGTCAAGATGTTTCAAGCCATTTCTCCATTGTTCATGGTTTTAAGGGTTATTTTCCAGCTCTGAGCTTTTCCATTTCCTCTGTGCATGCCACTGTTACTCTCTCTTTTAAAGAAAAAAAACAAAAGAAAAGCACCTTTATGATAACTAGAATACCCAAGTTTGCCACTTTAAGCTCAAAATCTGCCGCGTACAATTTCCGTAGGTACTTGGGGCCAAAATGCCCCAGAAAATAAAGCTTTTGTAGAACCACCAACAAACTCAGATCTCACACTTTTTTAGCTGTAGCATTTGGGTGGTGTGATCCAACTGTAAACATGCACTTTACCACATGAATGCATTCACACAAACACACTCGCTTGACTCTGGGCTTTCTGCATCCTATCTGCACAGCTCATCACAATGGAGGAGTATGTGAGAGTGCGTGGCTTTGCATCATCTCGGCTTTGCTCATCACAATGGAGGAGTACGTGTCAAGGCGCTTACGTTTGTAATAACTGCACCGTACTCGTTTTCCACGCCTCCACTCACCGAAGAGGTAGCACCTGCCACTCCCCACCCCGCCAGGTAAAGCGAGCAGCCGATGGAAGACCTGTTCGCCGAGAGCCATCGCGTCCCGTCGTTTCATACAAACACCACCCCCCCCCATCAGCTTGTGCACACCTACACACACACACACACACCGTCGCTCACTCTGCCTTGCATACACAAACACGAGCTCTCAGAAATTACCATCTAAAAGATGTAATGATGTGGCTCGGCGTATAGACACACAGCATGGTGCCGTTTTTCTTTTGTAATCCACGGATAAGTGGGATCAAAGACAGAAGGGGCAAATGTCAGCTTGTGTTACTAGCAGTGTGTCTGCGTACAGCTCTCTGTGGTAAATTCACCTGCATAAGGACTCGGCATCATTTGAGGGGGGAGAAAGAAAAAAGAAAGCTACGTGGGATCTTATTTCCTGGCAATCAAGTGCAGTGTTGGAGAAGTGAGTGGCCCAAACGTAATAGATTGTGGATGTGACTATTTTTTGGAAAACCAGTGGTGACATAATCAGATTTTCCCCTTCTCTGAGCTCTTGATGTTTATTGGTGATGGAGGCTTTTCTTGCCAGTTGTGTAATAATGAAACTCATTTGAAATCAGGTAGTCTTCCTGTCAATACAGCTGAGGAGGAAGAGGAGGAGGAGGCAATGGTGGCGGTGCAGGGGAAAGTATACGGATGACTAAGAATAAAATATTATCTGAAAGTAATGTTTCATGCATGCATGCAAGACTGAAACCAGAGATACAAGTAGCTCCGTAAACATTTAATGGCGGCGCACACAGATTCACAAATTCACATTTAAATAAAGAAAAAGAAAAACTTGTACTCTTCGTGAGATTCACAACACCTGACGCAAGTTAAAAGACAACCATTTTTCACTCTTTCAAAGCAGTTTGCGTGTCGAAGCTGCAACAGGAGGACCGAGAAGGAGGCCCCTGCTCTATCCCTGGGGAAACCCTGTGCATGCTTGCATGCCAGGCAACTCTCCTGCTGGTTTGAATAATTAACTTGAGGCCTGTTCATCGTCTGGGCTCATTCAGAGGTGCTGGACCGTTGAGTCACACTCTTTAATTCCACCAGGTTTTAGCTTTAAAATATAGATAAATATATGTATATATAGGGAGAAGGGAGTGGGCCTTATGGGACGGCTTAGGCACGCCACACACAAACTTTCTCCTCCTCAAGGTGTGAAAGTGTGTGGTTTGTGGTGACTGTCATTTCAGAAAGAAAACAAAAAAGGCTGATACACAGCTTCTCTGATCAGTTCCCAGTAACCCAAAAGACGGGGATTTTTGCTCAATGTGGACGTGCCTTTGACACTCTTTCGGGGGGTAAACAGCATATCGCAGATATGATGAGAATGGTGTATGAACAGAGGTGACAGCAATGGAAAACCTTAGAGTTAGAAGAAGAGTCACAATTAGCGGAATCTGAGTTTGTCATCTTTCTTCCAAATACTACAAAATGACCAGCTTTTATTTATTTTTTGGTAAATTGTTTAAACGTTATAATCATCAGTGTGACTTTCATTCATGAAAAGTTAGGAAAAATACAACACAAGTTTTCCGGACCTGAAGTCTCTCACCCAAACACCTGCATCAATGACTTATTGACTAGCCAGAGGCAAGCAGTGGTTTTTATTGTATTTGGCAGGTCATTGATTAGAGCACGCCCTGATCTCTCCCCTCATCTACATTCACCTGGACAACTTGGGTGTCTTAGGGAGACTGAAGCAAAGAAGAACACACAAGAGAGATCTGTGCGCTTTGAATGTCATTAGCGCATACTTTTACTGCGTGCGCTCACAAATCGCTAGAATAAAAGGAAGAAGCTACCTCAAAAATCGCCTCCCAGCCTATGGAAGTAGAAAGATGTGTAACAAATGCATTTTTTTTTAGCATTTCTCCTGATGCAAACAAAGCTTAAGAAAACTCAGCTCTTGTACAGTGTACAACATACCCAAGGACATAGCTCAGAAGCCATTACAGAGCAATCTCCAGCTCTGGTTTCACTTCCCATTAGCCATTCAGAGCCATGACAATACCCAGAGGGGAGAAGGTGCAGCCATGGCTTTTCCTCTGCCAAGGCCCTCACATCAGTCAGTTGTTTAGCCCTCTGTAGCTCAGCAGTGCCATGTTGTGCAATACAAAATATATATTTATATATTTTTTTTAAAAGTTATTTACGCTACCTAGTCTATCTTTTGATACTTTAAAGCGAAATTTGTATGAGGTAGCAGTCAACCACCCACCTTCACAACTCCAGGGGCACATTAGGATTTGAGATTCACGTTTGGAAACTGATGACAGATGCTGCCATTTTCATGAACATTCAGAATTAAGCATTACTTGCACATATGCTTTAAACACTAGAGCTAAAAGGATGAGTGGCGTGTGTTCTTTAAAAATAAAGACTTAAACTCTTAAATCTGAGCCGTTCATGTGTTTCCTCTCAGTTGTGCGACCACAGCCACATTCTTGTCCTGTACAATTGTCCTGATTCCCAGGTTAGGCTTACCTTACTGCTGCCCTGAGCCCCGGCCCCAGATTACCCCATCAATCCCATTTTATTCCTCTGGCTCAGAGAGCCCACCAATCAGATGGCAGGATGGGGAGGAATATGATAGTGGATTGGCTCTTGTGGGGGGGAAGGGGTGGAGCAGCTCAGCCATCCCCTAACAACAGCAGTGCGCTGTGAAATGAGCGAGTATGAGAGACATAATTTACCCTTCCAGTTTTACCTCTTCCTCTACATTTCTTTGCCTGCCTTTCGTGCCAGTGCCCGTTTTTCCCCTCTCTCGGCATTCCTCAAACAAACACCCCATCTTTGAAAGAGCAAAAAAAAAAGAGCTTTCCCTGTCCAGTCTCCGCCTCCTCTCATCACTGCCTCAGCTATCAGTCTGCATATGACTGCTGACTCTGTTGCTTGTAGCGATGCTGAGCAGAGCTCTGCCGTGGCTTCGCTGCCCCACACACACACACACACACACGCACAGAAGCCGGAGGAGGTCAGGCTGGTTCCTGGCGGAAGGAAACAAATTACACACCGTGTGCCCACACATGTATGCAGTTGCACATGCACTAGCACTAACAGCTAAGCTCAAGCCGAATGGGATCTCTTCTCTGACCTACTTCTTTACCGTCGCACAGAGGGAAACACTGGCCAGGCTCAACATAAACTCCGCAGAAAGACAGCAGGACCAAAAAAATAAATAAATAAATAAAAATCTGCTGTTCGTGTGAATGCTCAGGAATAGAAGCAGCTCCTAACCCAATGTTTCAATCCCCCTACTTCTTTTTCTTGTGGTTAAGAGATGGTAAAAAGAAAAAAAAAAAAGAAAAAAGGTGCCCCCTATGTCGGCTGGAGGTGTAACAGCCAGCTCCAGCCTCAAGCAGCCATCTTGTCTGTTTGTGTACGTGAGGAGAATAGAAAGGTTTTGTTTTGTTTTTTTTAAAAGAGAGAGAGAAAGATTTCTCATCACCGCCGCAAAAGGCACCTTTTAAGTTTTAAGGCCTCCACTGTTACAGCTTTCAGGTTTTGTATTTAGAGATCACATTTTCTAATCCTGTGCCTTGATCCTCAAACGACAGGGACAGATTTTTTCCCCTCTTCATCACTGCAGCTTTGGATGTCCCACAAGGCATCTCCATTCAGAGAATTTTCAACCCCCCCCCCCAAAAAATTAAATGGCCTTGATGCGTTTTCTGCACCGAATATTCATCCAGAACTGACAGAGAAAACATCAGAAGTGCCGTTAGATCCATCTTTTTACACGGCATATGAGAGCACACGCACCACTTCAAGCACTAATAAAACTCCTCCTGGCTTCTGTTGGGATCCTTTTGTTGGTTACATGTTATTACACCTGAAAATGTAACTAATTCTCATAGCATAAAGGGTTTTCTGCAGATAGTTTGACCACAACTCAGTCAATCAGCCTAATAGTCGATTCATGGATTACAGCCTGTGAATACAGAGTAAAGGTCTCTTGCATGCCTTAACAAAAGCAGTTCTGCTATTCATATTTATGAAAAAGAGCAAAATGATAAAAGGTTAGAAGGTTTGCGCTACAGCTGAAAAAAGGCAGGCCGCTCGTGCTAAAAGAGATTCTTAATAAAAAGCTTTAAAAAAAAAAAAAGTAATTTCAGGTAGTTTCCAGATAAAATTCGATATACATGAAATCTGTCTAAAAATCACACAAGTGTAAAATTACCCCACAGCTGTGTGTATTTTTATTTAACGGCGTTGCGGTTATCCACGGTCATGGTTGATCTTCAGTTTGCCATAACACCTGCAGCTAAAACAGGTGAACACGACAGAGGGATGAGAGGTGCTTCCCAGTCCCACAAAGGCCTCATCACACACCTCCAACCATCTCACACACCAAACAACACACACACACACACACACACACACACACACACCAAGACACGGGAATCCCACAGAGGGGGAAGCATGTGCCCATTGTTGGGAGGGGGACGGGGGTCTCACGAGGCCCCCCCCCGCTCTTTGAGAAGTGACAATAGCTGCATTGAAAACACCTACCAGCCTGAGAGATACTAAAGGAGAGGGCGAAAGAACAGAAAAGGGGACAAAGAGAAAGCAGAAGAAAGGAGACTGCAGACTCCAAATGGATACGCATTCACCTCCTTGTCATGCAGAACATTCGTCCCATAAGGAAAGCAAAGTCTGGTGTCAGCCTAACTTTACTTTGTACTCTCTCATGAGAAGAGGCAAACAAAATAACAGTTTCCAAAAAAAAAAAAAAAAGGTGAACTACAGCAATTTAGAATCGGCAAGTCGTTCAATGTCTGTTAACTTCTGATGGGTCAGGTTGGACCTGAATCACAATAAACTGCGTCTGTGAGTGACAGACGCCTTCGCAAATCAATCCATCTGACAAGTTATTCATACATCAACGCCTTCATTTATGGAAATCGCATGCAAGCTCGCTGTCAAAGCAGTGGACACGTCCGCGAGGGCTGGAGTCGTTTAATCCTCCAGACTCACGGTCGTTTCGGGTTTTTAAACCGCACTGTAGATGGATTGTTTATGGGATTTATTCCACCGTCGAGAGGAGAGAGACGATAACCTCTCGCTGTTTGAACCTCTCGCGATTTTGCAACCACAAGCGCAGCTAGGAACTCAGAGGGGGGCCTCACGTCAACAACTCGCTCTGCACTTGAAACAATAAATATCTAATCCCTGTCATGTTACAGGGCCCCCCTGTGCAGCTCTGGGCCCCACGAATCGATCAGGGTTTCCCCCTTTAGGTGCCCCCATCTGTGACACACACAAAAAGGGAGTATTCAGGGGGATTTGGTCTGCGCCGCAGATGCGATAATAACTCGAGTAACTAAATGAGTGATGTGTTTTAATTTAATAATTTGTATAGGAGGAGAGTGAGCAGGTAAGATTAGTTTCTTGCTTTACAGAAGTGCTAAGAATACAGGAGTTTTCCCATGATGCCACACGGTATTTCAAAGGGGCTCTGCTATAAACTGTCATTCTGAGGATGAATCCTTGTAACACCTCAACTTTTGTGCGTTTTCCCATAAATACAAACAATTTCGAGTTAAACTTAAAAGAAAAATTCCCAAGGTGTCATGTTTCACTACGCTGATTCGGCGCTACGGGACACCCAGCAAACGCTCCGGCTCCAACGCCACTGATCAGAACGAAGAGTACGTCACGTAAGCCGGAGTCGACACGGGAGATTAAAAATTCAATATAGGCCAAGTCACTCGATATCACAACCATCATATTTCAGCCGCACTAATCAAATTCACAGGCATGACCTCTGGGGTATATTAAATGTGTATATACAACATGTGTCATCTCTCAAATGTTTTGCGGGGGGAGATATCCATCTACTGCGGTAAATACAGTGCGAAGGAGAGCCAGCAGCAGTCACAGTAGCTACAACAAATTTGCTCCCCATAAAAATGAGCAGTGGATGGATTTCAGCGTGCAGCTTGCCAGAACCACGGGAGGGAGACTAAATGATTATGTTACAACAACACCGCTCCAGCTCTCAGAAAACAACAATCACGGTCTAGGTAGGATATTGCGGCGGAGTAAAAATTAAAGGGGAGTGGGAGCGAGGCAGACAGACGGGAGGACGGGGGGGGAGGGAGAGCGGGAGGCATGGTTTTAGGGAGATCATCAGGGGCTGCGAGCACGTTTTGGCTGTTCGTCTGTAATTGTGGTGCAGACTGAAGCCACGACAGCGCTTCATGTCCTCTCATTTTAAGTTCGTTGAGGTATGGGGAGGAAAGAAAATCCTGTGTCCAAACAACTACGACAGACTCATCCTGTAAAGAGCCCGACATGTCAGTCAAACTCGATTTGGGCCTTTCCACACACCAAAAAGTTCAAACCCCAAATGTCAACATTTCCTGTCATCATTCAGCACCCTTGCCCCATTTTAAGATTTTTTTTTTTTTTGGGGGGGGGGGCTAATAAATACATTTAGAAAGTAAATCTGCGTCAACCCTTTCAGAGCGGAAAGGGTTGACGCAGATTAGCAGGGAGATAAGACTGCCAGCTGATCGTTAATGGAAGCCACCATAGCGCTTCTCTGAAGGTTAACAGGAAAAGCAGGGCCTAACCACCAACACAAATGCTCCTTCACACCAGTGTCACAGGTTCAAGCCTGTCGCCACAGTAAATGTAGGTCTTCTGCTTTATCTACATTAAACTCATGCACGCTGCTGCACATCAAGCTGATCTGCAGGGCCCAGATTTCTCAAAAAGCACCTCCAAACAAGTGAAATGGGCCGGGCGCATTAATCAGGGGCCACATCACGCTCCCATTTAAAGTTTGAAAAACGTTCAGACAGAAAGAAGATGGTCTTCAGCTAAAGCAAACAATCTTTCAAGACACTTTTAGCCTTTAGGGAAAACACGCACACAAACTAACCTACCCTTACACCTTCACAATCACAGGGTTAAAAAGGTCAGACTCTAGAACCGGGCAGTGCTTTCACACAGAAAAGAGAAATCACTTTGCCATAACTGATTATAACAAATAAATAAAATAAAGTAGGCCTTCAGAGTTTGGAGACGGGACAGCTGTGGGTCATAATGCACATCTCCTTAATTCCTAATGTGCATTTCCAAATCTATTACTCCCGCAGGGAATAACATACAAAGCACGTGACCGTTAAAGTACAAAAACAAAAGTGACGTTGCCTCAAAACTTTTTACCCAAAAAAATAAATAAATAAAATCAAGAATGTCAAAACTCAGAAAACAAAGATACTGACGGCTAAACTAACAGCTCTCACACTGAAAACAACAGCTCATTTACATCTCACCTACACCTCAAAGTGCGAAATCAAAGCCCATTTTCTTTGTATTCTGCGGTGTCCAACATCTTAAGCCCTTTTAAAGCCGCTGTGTGTGTCTGTTGTTGTTGCTGCAGTTGTATGACTGCAGATTACAGCGTAGCCAGAGAACGTTACGAAACAAAATCAGGGCTTAGGCGAGGGAGTCCCTCTGCTTTCGGACCTGCGGCGTAGGCTTCAGGAGTACAGGGGGGAAAGAAAACAACAAGAGGCAATTAAGGAATGATTTTCAACTCAGTTTGGGACAAAACCCTTGCAACTCATCTCACACACACACACACACACACACACACACACACACACACACACACACTCTTGCTCAACTAGCTACACTGTCGAACACAAAGGCAAATTCGGGGGCCTAAGGGGCCCAGAGAAAGGGATGTGGTAGCGAGGGGTGGGGAGGTGAGGGACACTGCAGTATAAATGCTGAGAGGAGGTTAGAAAGATGTGTGTTAACGTGAAAGAACAGACGGCGTAGGGGACAAACCGTGTGGAGGGAGAAGGGGTTTCAGAAAGAGGTGAATAATGGCATCGGTACAATGGGAACGAAGAGCGAAGGTGATGCATGAGGGGCTATTAGATGGCGTCAGCTGAGCTAGCGCCCTACAGGAGAGCGACGCGCTCACATGCTTACATCACACTCCATCGAGCAGTTGATCTCAAACTGCAGTCAGAATAGGAAGTGAAAAATTAATCTAATGCTGAGCAGAGAGGAGGGAGCGTAAAGGTAAACCAGTAAAAGAAATTAAAAAGAGAGACACTTATTATCGATGTTTTTGATATTTTGCTCTCCAACCAGCTGCTGGTTTGATCCCGAGTCACCCGGCAGGGTGGTACTCGTGTATAAATTAGATAACTGCGTTACTGGCTGCACTTGTCTGAGTCAGCCTTTCAAATAAATCCATCACTGAATTTCTCAGTATTTAAAAAAAGAAAAACCCAAACGGATCCAGATCAAGAGCTAGCTTCTCACGTACATTACAGCAGTGCTGTAAAATCTGTTATCAGCTGTTGATCGCGCAGCGCATTGAACCTCAAAATGTAGATCACCATCAGACGTGTCATCACTTGTGGGCGATGCTTAATGGTGCCGGTTGCATCTTTTTTCCTCCAAGATTTCCATTTTGTTTGTGAGCGAATTTTTCCAGCCTATACGATTATTATTAGCTCATCTTAAAGACAAAAGTCAACAATTTCTCTCTAACATACAGGCTCAAACTCTGGCTTTATAAATGGCATGAATGGGCTCCAATCAACCAAAACATCAAAAATATAAATCAATCAAAAATACCGGTTAGAGGTGATCAAACTAATAGCAAACATGGGCTAATCTTAAATTTCACACACAACTCACAATATTATTTTTGGTGGCATACAGTTGGGTTTTGGTGCCCATGCATGAAATCTGACTCAACTTTGACACATAAAGACAGGAGTGACAGCTGCAAATTTAAATACAGCTACAACACTGCACACATACAAATCTCAAGAAGTGAGAAAAGCAAGGAAAAAGAAGAAGAAGAATGAAACCATCTCCTGGAAAATGAAACTATTCTGCAGAGAGTAGATCTACTCTATCGATTAACGGTGAAATTATGTAATAAGGCAGCAGTTCTCCACCACTCGGGTCTCCAGACAGGAATTTTTTAAAGCAAACGAAATAACAATCGTCATAAGTGACCGAGCGCTATGACTAACATGAAATTCCACTCTTGATTTCTGTGACTGAATGACGGGGTGCTTGCTCAAAGTGAAAGTGTCTGTCAATAATGTTTAAAGCAAAGAAAGGGCTTACGGTCAAGAAATAAGGCATTGTCAGAAATTGCGAAAGCCTAACCGTTTCCTATGACTATCGCAGCTTACGGAATATAATCATAAGATCTGTGTAATACAAGAAAAAGGATGAGTAAACAACAGAACAGCGAAAAGTACATTTTCTATTCTAAAGAAAGAGTTGGTTACTGCTGCGCTACTTTCTCTGTTTTCCTCCATAGTCTCACAATTTCATCTGCAGCAGTCTTTAGTCTCAATTTTAAAATTTCTATTTTTAAAACTATTCTACTGACTTGTGTTGAAACAAAAATTTTAAAAAAGTTTTCCCTTCTCAACTACATGTTCTCAGTTTCACAAAAAAATTGATTACTCATATCACTGCAAGACAAATCGAGTAACTTCCCCAGAATGCAGCCGCGATCCTGATGCTTTAACAACAACCTAAAGAGAAAAAAAAAACAAAAAACAAGAAGTCGTTTGCTCAGAAATAGTGTCTGCGTGTCACTTTCTATAAGCCGGGGGTGGGAGGTTCAAGTCCCCACCTTTCGTGCACGTAAAGCTACACATCACACGCATAGCCAAGGGGGAGGGGGGGGTTAACCTCCTGCTCTTTGGCTTGTCATTAATGTTTATCCAGAATTTGTTTCTACATTACTCATTACAGTGTGTGAAAGTCGTCATTCTGCATCTGTGACAATCTGGCTCAGTTACCTCATTTCCTTTCCACATCCTCAAACAATTACATCTTTTAAATAGACACACTCACACACACACACACACACACACACACACACACACACACACAACAAACAGAGGTTTACATCAGCAAAGAGCTTCAGTCTGAAGGAGCAGGCCTTGCCTTTAACCAAGATCACCATGGATATTCTACTTGAAATGGTGCCTAATTTGATTATTGTTATCCTCCTGGATTTCTTCTCTCTGACGATCACAGGTTGCACATTCCAGAGCCCACTTCTCTCACTTCTCTCCCTCCCTCCCTCCCCCGGGCCTTGTAACGTTTGATCCAGGGCCAGGGGGAGGCCGGCCAGACATTCAGCCCAGAGTCTGGCGCCCTCTCCTCAGTGTACCATGCACTATAGCTCCCTGCTGCGCGGCCTGGAGGAAATCATGCAGCTACGAGAATTGTAAAAGCCCTCATCTATTGAGCAGAGGTTAAAACAGGGGGAACAATGCCTTTGACTCACATTCTGCTTCCCTCTGTGGAAAGCCTTAAAAAGCACCTTAGAGAGAAGGAAAAAAAAAAAAAATAAATGGGCAAAAGAAAGGAAAGAAAAGTCGATATTACTTCACCAACTTATCTATTCATACCCTTCTTAAACATGTTTTCCATTTGTGGGAATAGAAAAAAAAAAAGATTCATGTGACTATTTAATAAAATAAAAAAAAATGTGAAAGATTTACCAACTGTGGCATCACAACCCCCGGAGGCTCGGACTACATGCTACATGCCCTCGTGCGTGTATGTTTGAGCGCTGCGTGTGTGTCGGGCTGGGCGCTCACACAGATGTGTCGTATCAAACTGTAAGAAGACTGCGAAGTTTTCTTTGGCAGTGCAAATCAAAACAAAGCAGATGGAGGAATGCAAGATGTAAGAGGAAGAGCTCCGAAACTACCAACAACCTAAACGTGTCGCTGAGAAGTCTGGCCTTTCTAACAAATTATTCTCATATGCAACACGCGCAACACACACACACACACACACACGACAAGGAAACAGATTCCAACAATGCACGGGCTCCTCCTCTGCAGCTCCTCTGCAATTTCACAGCTAGGCGTGGAGAAAACAAAAAAAAAAAGAGAAAGTGTCCCCTTCCTTATTCTCCTTGTCCTCGGTGTCTTAACAGAAAACTCCCCGATGCCTCTCTATCTCCAAAGCTGTGCTGAGTAATCGAGCAAATGAGCTGAGAGGGAGGAGGGTGAGAGATCGAAGTGGAACAGATTCAAAAATTCCACTCTGTATTCCATTATAAGACATGATGGGAGCCGGGAGCAGGGATAATGTGATGTTTTTTTGTAAGAGAATGTGGGTGCAGGAAGGACGCACTGAGGAAGAATGAGCATTTCACCTGCAAATCAAGTTTATCCTGCCGCTACCTTCCTCATCCCTCCTGTTCTCGCACATCCGCGCTGACAAGGGAACCGGGCACATCCGACAGCTCAGGAGCAGGAGCCACAACACGGACCCCTCCCCTCCCCAAAGACCGCGTTTCAGCACAGAAACATGTTCGGCTCCACTCCTCTACATACTGTTTGAACTGTTGCAAGAAGAGGGCCAGATGCAGTTAACACCTCTTCTGTGAGCAGACATTTTGCTCTAAAGATCAAGTCAAGATTTAGACTCTCTGTTCTGTCTCTACATATTCCCCCCCACACCCCAGTAAACCCCCGTTAAAAAAAAATTCTGCAAGAGCTTAAAAATAGAGATTAAGCAGCAACACTGGCCACCCAGCCACTCTGCTCCAATGGCTCATTACGCCACATGACTAGGAGGGGAGGGATCTGCCATCCTGAATTAAGGCCTCCCCCTCATGAGAGGCCAAATGCTTGGTTATTTAAAATAAATAAATAAAAGGGTTATATTTGAGTGCTCTTTAACTGAGGGAAGGTCACCGACCCATGCACGTTTGAGAGCTACAAATGGCTACAATGGGGATAAAAGGAATAAATGTAACTTAAAAAAAAAAAATTAAATTAAAAACAAAAAACAAAAAAAACACTGGAGTGAGGGGAAAAAAGATTTAATGAGAGAGCAATGTGTAAGCCAAGTGAGCACCGTGCCAAAGAGGGGTCTAAATAGAGTGACCAGTGGCTTGTTAGCAGAAAGAGACAAGCTGCTCCATCTATCATAAAAGAGTGATTCATAGATTACTGTGCTTAGCAGAAAGCTTGCGAGACTGTAAACGCATAACAAGAACAGCTATGAATGTACACTTCATGGTAAGCGTGAACAGGATTCCCGGAGCGGTATCTGATGACACTGTGCAACTAGCTATCTTTACAGAAAACACGATACGTCTGCATTCAAAAAGGAAGCCCAGGGATTTCCTCATCTGAACCGGCTCGGCCGAGATATTTCGTGAAGTCGTGCGCGCGGCCGTGCGGGCGACGAGAGAAACTGTGATATTCCAGGCAGAAAGCTAAGGGGAGGAACGGAGGATCGATAGTGACTGAGCCTCTGCTCTTGTTGCTTCATCCTCCCCTGAGGCGTAATTCACTGGATGTTTAAAAAGGCGACGGGAGTCACAACAGGGGATCAGATGGGATTGACCACGGGATGAAAATGTGAGGAGTGTTTATTAAACTGATGCGGTCGAGATGAAAAGCGGGGAGAAGGTGAGCGCAGATCGGTCAAGAGGCGCGCACGATGGTCATTAAAAGCTAATGCCGGTGCGAGCGACAGCGGCTCGGTGATTCCAGAGAGCATAGATTAAAAAGGCTGCGCTGGAAACAAAAGCAACCGTAGGTAATGTGAAAAGAAGGCACCTGACAGAGCTCGGAGGATGATATCATGACCGATAATAATTTACATCCTACTGTGGATGAATGTCCTTCGCTGGCCTTCTTATGGCCAAGGCCAAACCAAAGACAAAGCTAAAGTGTTGATTCAGCTTCACGGGGATCCTGAACGGATAAGCTGTGGCAAACACACACACACACACACACACACACACACACACACGGGGGCTGACCAGCTGTCTCACACTCCCCTCCCCAAAATCTCCATCCAAACCTAGAGGGGCAGGAGGAAATAAATCACTCAAATGTAGATGCACACAGAGGGAACGCAAGTGGTGTACGTCACACACACACACCTCTATCTGTATGGGCTCTCCACTACTGGAGTGTGTCCAACTACTGGACTGTTTCCTCCTAAAAGACACACCTACATAGGCTTATGCGCACTACTCCTGACCAAAATACACACACACACACACACACGTATAACAAAGAGCGTCACACCCAGTTTTATTTCACTGCTCTTGCAAATAGCTCGAGCCGCTGATACCCACGAAACGCGTCGAGGTTGGTTTTAAAACCAGTTTATCTCACCTACTGACTGCAGGTGTACACCTAAAGACCTTTGCCTGTGCGTGTCTGTGAGTGCGTGCATCAGTGCCAGCAAAGAGCCGGAGATTGTGCTCGGTGCCAACAGCTGATAAGAGAAAAGGTCGTGTTGCATAACAGGAGTTTGTGCTTTGCGCGCCTGTGACATAATGGAGTAGGAAAGGGATGCAGGGAAGAAGGGGAGCGAAGGCAGAGGGAGGTAATGGGTACGAAGGGGTTTATGTTAGAGGAAGTAGCCGAGCTACCTTGGCATTAGAAGGCCGCTGAACACCTTTCGCCGATCCAAATTGAAGCCGGCAACTCACAGAACGCTTGTAATGATGCCGTAAACTCTCCACTGGCAAAGCAGACTTCATTTAAGCATAAAAGCCACACTGCCTTCTCATTTAAAGTGCAAACCTAATAAATACGTACATTAAAAAAAAAAAAAAAAAAATCTAAAGGAACGAAGAAGATTGGATTAAAATGAGGCTGGGCTAGCCAACTTCACTCCCAGAGATCTTTCTGGCAGCGCTTGTCAAGTTAGCAGGCCCTGTGAGAGGAAGGATGAGGCCAAAGGGATGTGAGGCTGGGCCTGCAGTGTGGGAAGGCTGCTTCTTCTCTTCTGCTTCAACACACAACTGTTTGCATGGGGACACATTAACTAACGCCTGGTGATGTTCACATACCTGCCAACTTCAGCTCTTGATACATATGGCTGTGTTTTGTATGGGTTTTTTTTAGGCTTTGATTTCTCTGCGCAGTGCAAGCAGCACATAAAATCGCGATTTTGTTTCCTTCATTTTGCACTGTGTGCAAACTGCCAGTAATCTCCATGAGGACTTTTATATTTTGCTGGCAGTTGCTTTTATGCCATGCTGTTACAACCTGGCAATGCAATAAAAGCAGGTCCAGGTTTTATTTTGCCCCCCTATCGGTGAATGTAAAAACAAAACAATACAATAAAGGAGAGTAATGATAGTTTCAGATTAAAAGAACCCCCCTCCATTGCTTTTCATTCGATCCCACCCAAAATGCTGCCATTTCAATCCTCACCTTACCCCCCCGTCCTCACGTTCGTGGAAAATATATGGGAAGCACCTTCACAGAAGCGGTTGCGTGGAACTCAACTGTAGTAAACAGTAAAATAAACAGGCAGTAAAATGTCGCTCTTGCCACGGTACACTTTGCTTTTGCCCCCGTAGTCATAGTGACAGAGAGGTTGGAAAGTGAACCCTGCCATGTTGCACACGTGAGGAGAAGAGAGCTCATGAAAGGAGAATTTGCATTGAAACATAAGGTTAAATGAACCGCACTGAGGCTCAGGCACGGTGAAAAAACAACCCTGTGACCCTCTCTTCATGGTCCTACATGAGGCCCACATTTCATTTGGACAGCTCAAGAACGAGAGAGAGAGAGAGAGCGAGGCCGAAAGACTGGGGGGGGGATAAAGAGAGGAAGGAGGAGGGAGAGTCTGTGCCTTTGCACTCCCCTATTCTTGCCATGCTCTCTATTTTTGTTTCCTCTTTTTGTGCGTGCTCGACGCACACACTCACAGTGCAATGGATTTTCAACTTGGCCCTCATCAGTTGTGCGCCTGATGAAACAAACACTGACAGCCTCTTTACATTTGTAAAGGCCCCTGCAGCAGCTGTGCTTGTCCCACACACACACACACACACACACACACTTTGAATCAGAGGCCTAGCCCCTGCTGGGGCCTACAGGAAGAGCAGACTCTGCACAAAATGGCCTGACTGCACTGAGCAGCTACTCTCGCTTACAACACTCACACACACACCAACACAGTGCGTCATGTTTCGTTAGACAGGACAAGTCTGCCACACATTAGTGATACCTCAGCCATTACACAGAGCTGACCCCTGGCTCAAGAAGGCGCCAACAAATAAGAAAATAAACCTACAAAAATAGATTTTCTTCGCTGACATGAAAGCAGGAGACCGGTGAGCTTGTCCTCTGGATTTGTTCTCTCAACACTGGCGTTTGCAATCCCTGTGGGAAATGATGATCGCCCTGCATTGTTTCGTTTTGCTTTTTTTCCCCAAAAGAACTCGCTCACTTCACTATTTTGAAATCGTTTGTGACCGTTGAATTTTCAGTGTCATTCGCAGACAGCGGGCGTTCATCGGGTGCAGAAGGCAAGGGTGGCAACCCGCGCTCATGTTTCAGGGGGAAATGGTTAAGCCAAGCATGTATAATTGTCTTACGCTAATTACCGGGGGAGGGGTGGCTCACTAAGGGGCCAAGAGTCCTGTCTCAAAGCATTGGGGGGGAGCTGGGCCTTGACGAGCTGGACTCCTCCAGGTTTTTGTAAATGCGTTTGGGGGCCTAGTTTGGTTCGGGCCAAACATTATGCATTGACTGCAGCTGCAGAAAACACATGACAGATGTGAGACACATGCACACAAAAACACACATAGCACTGGGATGTGCATCCTGCAGTCAAGCAGCCCCCATCCCAAAGTCCAGATGCTTTGTCACCAGAGCTAATACTACAACGAGTTATTAAAAGGCTAAATTTATTAATTAATTTATTTTTTTTAAAACCCTTCCAGTTTTAGAAAGCCTGAAACTGGCTGGCCACAATGCAATGCCTCAATTTTAGATGGGGACTTTTATATCAGTTAGTCATAATTTCTACAGCACATCCTGTTTCCTCAGTTCAGGGAGAAGCTTACACATAAGCGGATCCGATCAAAAACGTGTCATCTTTGCAACACTCATCCCACTATTACAGCACAAACGTGCACACACGCGCACACACACGCACAGCAGAATTTATGGTCAGTTAACATCAATGTAACTGAAACTATCCGGTCACGCTCAGAGGAAGATTGTGTCAGAAAGATCACCATCATGGCTGAAGATAATTGATATAATAATAATCATATTTTCACCATGGGGACAAAGAGCACTTTATTTCTGTAATATTCACGTAGTAGTGAAGTTCCAAAAAAAAAAAAGCCTGAGCTGCAATGAATAACCGGCACTTATTGAGTCTTTGCTAAAGATGACTCTCCTTTATGTTGCTTTCCAGCAATGTTGATGCCAGCAACAATAATTTATCAGTGATGGGTCAGTGACGTAATGCCCTACTTTTCCAACACTTATTCATAGGACACAAGGGGATACCCTAAAAAAAATAATAAACAAAAACCAAGCAACCAAAGTGTCCTTAATAATTCTCTGCACTTGTTGCGGGGCAAACAAAAAGCTCACGAGCAACTGCACGGACGCAGACCCCCCAATTGTTCACACAGACCTGTTGCTCGGTTTGGCCATTTGCAACACTTTTTGAGACTATGATTTTGAACGCACCCTGCTCCAAAAATAAATAAATAAAAATAAATTATAGAAGAAGTGCACACTTTTATAGGTGTAGTCCACTTGGCGTTTAAGTGAGGATGGGTTTTGGAGGGAGGGGGGTGTGTTTAGCTCTGCAGACTTCAGTCAGTCGAGCATTAGCGCACGTGAGATGCCTCGTGCCTCGTGCAAATAAAGGCAACAATGTGTCCGGTGGGCGCACAGCAACAATCTATACATCAACGAAGTGCAAAAAAAATAAAGTATATATATATATATATTTTATTATTTTTTTTTGGGGGGGGGGGGGCAGTCATAATTTAAAAATAAATAAATGATGGTGGCTAAAGTACAAGCACACTGCGAGATTAACGTCTTTGTTTAGGTCACGCAGATGGACCGCTATAGCGAGACTGTAATTAAAGCCAGGGCCGAGCTGGACTAGCTCCTGGTTTCACAGCCCCTTCCTCCTCTACAAAATTCACCAGTGTTACTTGCAGGGACACACAGAGAGAGAGAGGGAGAAAATGGTCGCTTCATACATGAACCTCTGCAATGCGACTGAACACAGTCTCTTTAAAAAGATGGAACCGCTTAGAAACACTTGTCTCAAACATGTCCACCAAGTAGTGTCGCGTTAAACCGAATTAAGCAGCCGAGGAGGACCTAAAGGCTAGTTAGCTATCGCCCCCCCCTCCCAACACCTCCCGTAGTATAGCAAAGGAGAGAGAGAGAGAGAGAGAGAGAGAGAGAGAGAGAGAGAGAGAGAGAGAGAAAGAATGGAGTTATACCCTCAGCGAGCTGCTGCAATATCTGCTCCTTCTCAGAGGTCACACGAAGACCTGCCAAAATCGCTGACACCGGCGCTGGACTTGACTTGTACAACGGCGGTAAAAGCCGAGGGCAGGCGTGTAGCAAACAAACAAACCCAGGAGTGTGCCCGCAGCGTTTCGAGAGGTGGAAATTGAATGAAAATGCCTAATCGCATGACCCCTTTTTCCTGCTGCACGGAGAAAATTAAAGAGCCACAACAGTCCGCGAAACATGTCGGTTTGTCAGCCCCACGCCAAAAACACACACACACACACACACACACAGATATATATATATACACCCTGCGCCAGGACTGTAACACTTAGCCACCCATAGACTCGAGCATGAGGACGGGTTATAGTAAGCCATATATTCCGAAATGCTCAGCATGGGACGAAATGAAGTCGCAATAGCCGAGCCATGGCCGACAGGCTCGTCTTCACGACTCTGAGTAGCAAGAAACGGCTAGCGAACAAAAGCGTATTCTGGGAAACTGTTTGCCAAGTCTTTTAATTTAAAACCTTTTAGGGGCCTTGTAGCACAGCCGAAGCATGCTATGCACAAAATCACGGGTTTAAACCGGCCAAAATAAGCGAAGCAATCCCCCTTCACTGCTACAACCAGCACCACTAAAGCACCCGATGTTCAAATAGCCTAAAACATGGTCGGTGTCGAAGAAACGCTGCAGCAGACGTTGAATAAACATTGCTGTCTCTTTAAATTAAAAAAGGAAAGAAGAAGACATGTTATTGTTAACACGTCGAGGCAACTTAAAGGCGTTACATTTTGGAGGATATTTGACCCAAATGGAGCCCAGGCTGCATGATGGTAACCTTCACCAGCCCGTGATGGAAAGTTTATGCGTTTTCATCGAGGCGAGCAAAGGCAAACTTGAATAGAGCCGATATCAGTGAGCATTTCTGGCAATAATAATAATAATAAATACCAGCGTTCACTTACATATTTCTTTTGGATGATATTCCTCTTAGGTCGTTCCTTGCTCATTATGCAATCCCCCAAAAATGTTTGGCTATAGAGAGAATGGCCACATGAATTTCTTTCTTTGACTATCGCCTCTCCCGGAGCTCCAAAGGACGATTTAAATCCCCGGCTCTGTAAGGAAAAGCTTGCTGGCTTTGCAGAATCCTCCTTCGGTGTTTCCCCGTTTGAAGAATTCGGATTAAATCCCCCGGAAATATATATATCTATATATACAGATGTATATATATAAATATATATATTCAAGAGTCGACGACGAACAGAGACGGACTGAAGCCAAACTCACTTGGGGATAACATAGTCAAAACAAATGCACAACAATAAGTTCCATTCGCTCCGACAGCTCGGCTTCTCGTCTCTGCGCACTCGCTCCCGGCTCCTTTCAAATGCATGAATGTAGCTGTGGTGATGTCAGAAAAGTTACATCTTGTTTGAGGCGACGAGACATCGAGAAATAAATAAAATTACAAAATAAAACGTTAGGTGTCACGTCGCTTTCCTTTTTTTTCCTTTCTTTTGGAGGGGGGCTGGAGCCTGAGGTCGTCGACAGATCCAGCGGCACTGCTGTGCTTACCGAGAGCAGCTCCTTTCTTTCACTGCCTCCGCCTCCTCGCACAACACCGCCACCATCAGCGGCAACTTTAAAAAATTCTCGAGAGACAACCCCGAGCACGTAGCCCTGCTAGATAAGCCTATACCGTGTTCTTTTACGGATTTATGGTGTGTTTGTGGTAATCGTAACAAGCATTTTTTTTCTAGTAATCCTGCACTACATGGCGCGTTTAAAGTCCTATGCAGCAATAGCTTGCTAAGGTCATTTCGAGGAAACACCAGTGGTCACAATAAAGTTTATCTTCTTCTTTTAAAAAAATAAAAATAAATTACTCTTGTGTCTTGGTTTTGATGTTAAGACAGTTAGTTTTATGCTGCAGTTTTAATGGGATTTAACATTTCCACTAAGAAGTTGTTAGGGGACAAAAAGAAAAAGTGAGGGTTCCCTAACGCGAATTTGAATGCGAATGACTGCCCCCCTCCACTCCCACACCACAACCACACAACCTCAGAGCACGTGGTTAAACATTAAAGCTCGACCTGAATGGTGGGAGATGCTATACTTTTAGGAACTTTTCAACTGAGAAAAACTTATTGTTATAGAGAAGAGAGTTTCACGCCCAGTGTAATGATGTCACTGGTGCAGTTCCACAGAGCGACTTTGCAGACCAGCAAGAATAAAAGCATGATGTGATCTGAATGCATTAAGCAGCTTCATATTTTTAAAACTACATATACACATGCATGCATGTGTATATATTTTCAGATATGCTTTCTTGGATTCTTTTTAAAGCACTGTGTAGTGACTGTTAGCTGACTGGATGTCCTCATCCCCCTCAGTATCAGTGGGCTTGCTGTGTTATTACTCTAATGTACTGAGTGGGATGGTTGCTCCGTTTGAACCACAGAGGTAGAGGTAGTTAAAAGTAGTGTGTGTGTGTGTGTGTGTGTGTAGAGGGGGAGGGGATATTAAGATGAATATGCAGCTTTGTCTCCATGGTATACCCGAAGAGAACTCTATCTGTATAATGATGCTGCTTTTTTAAACTAGTTGTTACTGAGCAGTGCTGGTTCACTGAAAAGTGTGTTTAGGCCACCAGAATGGAAGAAATATTTCCACTACAGTTTTTTATTTTATTTCCAAGAGATTCACTGCATTGTCCATAAAGCTTATTGATAGATGGCCTTGAAATTTGCTACAGAGCTCCACCGGGTCTGGAGGATGAATCCTTCAGACTTTTGTAATTCCTTTTTGCCTTTTTATATAACCAGCAGATGAACATTTTCTCTGAAATATGCCAACATATAAACAATGAGCTGGTGGTATTTCAAAGTGCACATAGGGGTGATCTGCTTAAGAAGTACTGGGTGGATTACAATCAGATTTGCTACATATATTCATTTCTCTCTGTGGAAGAACTGCAATAAATTTGCTTTTACCCAAGCAGAAACCTTGGGTAAAAACTACAAAAAAAAGCTGGTCTCAATAAACAACCATGCTAGATTGGTCAGTTTTAAAGCAGAAAAAACCATAGTTACAGCCTGGCACAAAGAAAATGTTGCATTTTCTTAAAAAATCATGTTAAAGTTAAGAGCAATCTATCAGCTGAATGCTGATAGATTCTCACTGGCCACTTCATTAGGTACACCTTGCTAGTACATTGGTGGAGCCCCTTTTACCTTCAGAAGTACCTTAACTCTTCGTGCCACAGATTCATTAAGGTGCTGGAAACATTCCTCTGAGATTGTGGTCCATACTGAGATGAGAGGATCACACAGTTGCACATTCATGATGGGAATCTCCCAGTTCACCACATTCCAAAGATACTCTATTGGACTGCAATAAGGGGACTGTGGCAGCCACTTGAGTAAAGCGAATCATTGTCCTGTTCAAGAAACCTGTTTGAAATCATTTAAGTTTTGTCTCACAATGCGGTAACCTGCTGGTAGCAGCCAACTGAAGATGGGTACACTGTGGTCATAAAGGGATGGACATCATCAGTGGGTTTAAATGATACTCAGTTGGTGCTAAGTAGTCTCCATTATACCATTATTACACCACCACTAACAAAATCCTGAAATATGAGGCGGTGGATCCATGCTTTCATGTTGTATACAGCATTCTTGACCCTACCTCAAATGTTGAGGCAGAAATCGAGACTCAGTTTTCGTGCCCTGTGTGAATTTTCGTGCACAGTTTCCTATTCTTAGCTCAGAGGAATGGCACCCACTGTGGTCTTTTGCTGCTGTACTCCGTCTGCTTTTTTTCTCTTCTTGGGACCATTCTCTTTAAACCCTAGAGATGGTTGCATAGGAAAATCCGAGCAGATCAGCGTTTTCTGAGTTAGTCAGACCACCCCATCTGGCTTCAACAGCCATGCCACGTTCAAAATCACTTAAATCAACAAGTCATGTTGACCATGTCTACATGCTCAGATGCACTGAGTTGCTGCCATGTGATTAACTCATTAGATATTTGCATTAACAAGCACTTGTTAATGAAGTGGCTGGTGAGTCTATGCACGCCATGCTTGTATGTTTTACTGATCCATTTTACAGATCCAGGTTTGTTGCAAGTTAGCAACCATGCGCTAACACTTCTGATCCAAATATGGTAACTTCTGGCTTCAGAGAACCACATGGCAACAGCTACACCACTGAAGCGTCAAAAAGAGGTATGGCAAAGTCCCGGTGGCTATGTCCATCTTTTATATACAGTCTTTAGTGTTCCCATAAGCCATTGCTGCAGCTTGAGTAACAAGTTGGCACTGACTCAAAGTACAATTGAGTCTGATTCTCTAACTGAGCTACTAGTATGGGAGCCACCTCTACCACTTGTGAAAGTTACAGTTGGTGATATCTATCTTATTTGCCTGCACCCAAATTACGTATTAGGACATATCTGTGTGGGCTCTCTGGCACAAGTCAGATAGTACACTGGGTGGGGTTTGAACATGCAGGCAAATGTCAGCAGAAAGTGTTGCTTTAGTTAAACCTAGCAATTAACCTCATAGTTCAGCATTATCAAAGCAGACAGCACATGCAAGTTAATGTGATGTGAGCCCTTTCATCTGCGGGTGATTATTTATTAGTCTTTGAATGCCTGTTCTCCTTAAGCTCGCCTCCAGAATTAGACCCAGGTCCATCCCAGTACACATACTGCATGCGTTACTGGGTTTGGTTGGTTAGATATACAACAACTCAAAGAGTTAACAGTGGCACACACATTTAGACTTACATTCACAACTACAGGCATGTTTTTACTTTCCAACTCTTTGCCCTGGTGTTTGCACCGTGGGAGGCAAAGTAACGTACGCGTACAAGTAAGAAATCCTAAAAGAAGATTCAGCATGTCCCCAAATCACGTAAAAGCTGGAGTATAAACAATCACCAGCATCCAAATGATCATGCTGATTTCATTATCATTCATGTAATGGGGAGGAGCTATTGATTCCTGTCCTCTGTTTGATGTAGATTCAGCGTAACGCACCAAATGATCAAAGCGCCGAACTTACCCTCAAATGCACGAACAAAGACGCCAAATCAATAGTCCACGGATCAATAATTCTAAGCATGGTTTGTAGATGACATGATATTTATGTATTCCCCCCACCTTTCAGTCTCGACCCCTATTCCAGTTCTGCTGATAGGAATATGTGGATAGAAGGGATAATAGTAGCTGCTGATCATGTGCACTTTTATTTTATATGCGTTTAAAATCACGTTTTGCCTAATCAATCATGTCTACAGCGTCATGGACATGAATGCTATTTTGAGACAAGACTATGTAAGCTGCCTTTAGCCCCCCTCGTCACCTGCACTCTCCGGAGGGGGGGTTATCGGGGTCTTCTGCCCTGCTGGTGCTGACATTTAGGCCCACATGAATCAATAAGACAAGCTGAGGAAGGATGCCTGAATTTCGCAGCGGTCGACCTCACAGTTCACATTTAGCCCACGGGCAGAAGGGTTGCAGGCTCTTCTCTAGACATTTTTAGCCTGATTTTTTCCCCCTATGTGCAGACCTGTAATATGCGGTTTTCAAATCTTCTTGTTTGCACAATATTTCAAATGTATATATTTATATATCATAACTGGGAAGTTCGGTAAAATGTGTCGTGGGTGTGCTCATAGCACAGATATGTTAAACACTAGTGGTCTGAGTGCATGAAAGCATCTGCAGCACAATTGTTGCTATAGTTAACAAAAATGAAACTTTAAAACTAAAACTAGATGTAAAACATTTGAACTATTTCATAGAAATTAAGACAAAATAAAAACTAACTGAACTATATGGACACTTTCGCTCTTTTGCCTTCAGAACTGCTTTAATTCCTAATGGCACAGATTCATCAAGGTGCCAGAAACAATGCTCAGAGATTTTGGTCTATATTGATGTGGTAACG